CTAGCACGACGGCGACTACTACTACTACGGCTACGATTACGACTACGGCTACGGCTACTACCACGACTACTACTACTACTACTACTACTACTACTACTACTACTACTACTACTACTACTACTACTGCTACTACTGCTACTACTACTGCTACTACTACTACTACGACCACTACGACTACTACTACTACTACTACTACCACTACTACTACTACTACTACTACTACTACTACTACTACTACTACTACTACTACTACTATTACTACTACTACTACTACTACTACTACTACTACTACTACTACTACTACTACTACTACTACTACTCCTGCGGCTGCTGCTGCTGCTGCTGCTGCTGTGGCTGCTGCCCCTGCTGCTACTACTGCGACGAATAACACTGGTATTTTTACTTGGCCGCGGGTGCGAATACGACGACTGTGCCTACGAAGATAGCAGTTCTACTGCGAATGCGACTGATACTGCGAGTACTGATGCTGGTGCTGATAAAGAAACTACGGCGAATACTCGTACGAATGCGAAGAAGAATGCGAATGGGAGTGCGACTGCCGATGCGAATCCGACTGCGAATGAATATGGTTGCGCGTTGTTGTATAACTGAAGATATATATATATAAATAAATAAATACATACACCTATGTATGTATATATCCATATAAGTATGGAGGTATGCGACGGCTGCTGCTGCTTCTGCTTCAACTGTTGGTATTGTTCGATCACTGCTACGATACTTCTACGACTACTGCTGCTAGGAACTGGAAGGGGGATGACGGGGGCAAAAGGAGTGCGGATCGAGGGAGGGACACGCATTCACGGAGGGGTCGCATCGAGCGACGAAGCAGCAGAACCTCGTGGAAGAGACAGGGAGAAACAGAGAGAGAGGCCAAAAAAGGAGAGAAAGAGAGAGACTGAGAGAGAGGAAAGGACATAATGAAAAAGAGAGAGAGAGAGAGAGAGACCGACTGAGACAGAGGCAGGGACAGCAACAGACCGACGGACAGACAGACAAGGCAGGGAGCGCAGGAAAAAACGGCCAGCGTCACAGAGGTGCTCGGCCGTCGACGGTGCGGCCCAAGCGGCGGTGGCCGCGCAATCACCTCTCAAGAGGCGGACGGAATAGAGATAGAGAGAGAGAGAGAGAGACACAGAGAAAAACCGTAGAGCAAGAGAGAAAGAGAGAAAGGAAGAGAGAGAGGGAGAGAGAGAGAAGCAGAGAGAAGAAGAGAAAGCCAAGGCGCCGAATATATATATATATATAGAGAGAGAGAGAGAGAGAGAGAGAGAACGAGAGGAGCGAGGTGGGACGGGCGGGGGAGGGGAGGGGTGGGGGAGTGGGGACGTGAGAGGGGGGGAGGGGGTAGGGGGGAGGGGGGGGAGGAAGGGCGGGGGATGGGGAAGAGGTGGGGGGGGGGGGGGGGAGGGGGGGGGGGGCGGGGAGGGAGGGGCGGGAGGGGGAGGAGGGGGAGGAGGGGGGGTCGCAAAGCAGGCCAAGGTGCAAGGGATACCCCATGAACATGTAGGACCAGGATAAAGTTGAGGGGCGGGCAGGGTTAGCAGCAGCAGCGAGAGGTAGCGACCATGGCGGGGGCAAATGAAAGGCAACACTAAGAAGTCGACAGTTCTTGCGAGGCCTTCATGGCAGTGGTGGAGGATCGGAGCGAGAAGAGACCGCGAGCCAGAGTCGACCCTCCTGGCTTGCACGGAGTGGGGCAGCAGCTGAGCTGGAAGTGGTGGTCGTGCAAGAAGCCCTGGACCTCCTCGAAGGTGGCGTCCGCTGGAGACGGGGCTTCATCTTTCCAGTGCATCTGGCTCTTTCTCTCGCCCGTGCTCTGCTTCCCTGACCCCCCCCTGCCTCCCGCTCCACTGTTGCTTTTGGACGCCCGAACTGGGCATGGCAAAGCGTGGGCACGATGCCCAACAGCGGATGCTGTCCAAAACCAACAGGGGCCGCTGTTGGACAGGCGACTATGAGTTTCAAATGGACGACGCCAGCGAGGACACCGACAACGAATCATGTTAAAAATGGGTAGGAGCCGCTGCTCGTCTTCGTACCCAGTATTTGCGTATATGTTTTATCTCACCAATTTGCACGCACTGATGCTGCAACCCGACTCCGGCCAACGAGCAAAGACGGGCAGACCACCAACTAGTATGATGCAACAGAGCAGCCAGCAAGGGGAGCTGGGCACTCCGATGTTTCTCCGCACGCTCACCTCCCAAAACAAATCCCCCTACCCCCCGATAACCCTCGGGCCCCACACACACACACACACACACACACACACACACACACACACACACACACACACACACACACACACACGCACACACACACACACAAACATCCCCCATCCCCAGCCCACACCTCCCGCTCCCACCTCCGTCTCCTCTCCCTCTCCCTCCCCCCCACACCTCCCTCCCGCCTCTCCCCGCCGCCTCCCTCCGCCCCGCCCCTCCCCCCCGCCATCCCCCACCCTCTCTCCCCGCCCCAGATGCCTCCGCTCCCTCGCCCACCCCGCCCCTGCCGTCCCCTCCCCCCTCCCCTCCCCGGATCTCCCCCCCCCCCCCCAATCCATCCTCGGCCGTACCGCCTCCCGCTCCGTCCCCGCCGCCCTCGCCCCCCCCCCCCCTCCCCCCCCCCTGCTGCGCCGCCGAGGGGGAAAGGGAGGCAGTGCTGCTCGCCTGCAGCGCATGTGCAGCGTTCTGGCTCGGCACGGCACGCAAGACCGCAAGACCGTGTCGTCGTCATCCTCCTCCTGCTCCCCTCGTCCTCCTCCTCCAACTCGTCCTCCTCCTCCTCGTCCTCGTCCTCCTCCTCCTCCTCCTCCTCTCCTCGTCCTCTTCCTCCTCCTCCCCTCCTCCTCCCCCTCCTCCTCCACCTCCTCCTCCTCTCCCTCTTCCTCTCCTCCTCTCCTCCTCCTCATCCTCCTCCTCCTCCTCCTCTCCTCCTCCTCCTTCTCCCCCATCATCATCCTCCACCCCCTCCTCCTCCCGACCCCCACCCCTCCTGCTACGCGGGGGGGGATAGAAGGCTTCCCAAGCGAGCACGCCAGTAGCAGCGGGGTCCTCGATAGAGGACAACCACCACTGCAAAACGACCTCAAGTACTTCTTACTGGAGCGCCAAAGTGGCCTCGAAACAGACACTGACAACCCACAAGAGCCTTCTGAGAGGTCCGTACCACACCTCCTCCTCCTCTCCTCCTCCTCCTCCTCCTCCTCCTCCTCCTCCTCCTCACCTCCTCCTCCTCCTCCTCCTCCTCCTCCTCCTCCTCCTCCTACTACTACTACTACTTCCTCTACTACTACTACTACTACTACTACTAACTACTAACTACTACTACTACTACTACTACTACTACTACTACTACTACTACTACTACTACTACTACTACTACTACTACTACTACTACTACTACGTACTACTACTACTACTACTAACTACTACTACTACTACTACTACTACTACTACTACTACTACTACTACTACTACTACTACTACGACTACTACTACTACTACTACTACTACTACTACTACTACTACTACTACTACTACTACTACTACTACTACTACTACTACTACTACTACTACTACTACTACTACTACTACTACTACTACTACTACTACGACTACTACTACTACTTACTACTACTACTACTACTACTACTAACTACTACTACTACTACTACTACTACACTACTACTACTACTACTACTACTCTACTACTACTACTACTACTACTACTACTACTACTACTACTACTACTACTACTACTAGACTACTACTACTACTACTACTACTACTAGCTACTACTACTACTACTCTACTACTTCATCCTCTTCTGTTTTTGTCTCTGTTCCTCCCACCACCTCCTCCTCCTCCTTCTCCTCACCCTCCTTCTCCTCCTCATCCTCCTACTCCTCCGTCCTGCTTCGCTTGCCCCCTCTTCGTCCTGCTCCTCCTCCTCCTCCTCCTCCTCCTACCTCCCTCCTCCTCCTCCTCCTCCTCCTCCTCCTCCTCCTCCTCCTCCTCCTCCTCCCCCCTCTTACCCCTCCTCCCCGTTTCCCCCTCCCCTGCGGCACGTGGACCGACCATGTGCAAGGCTTGTCCCTCGCAGGTATCAGTCCCGCAAGAGGAACACTGGGACGATGCACGCTGGCAGGCGCCCACTCCAAGCTGCCGCAGACCTCGACCGTACCTTCTGGAACAGCTGGGCGCGAGCCAGCTTAAGAGAGCTGGCCGACCTCGTCGACCCTTGCCCTCAGAGCGGCTCGTGATACGGACGAGACTCACAGCTGACCATTCCCTCCCTCCCCCCCCCCTCCGGCCGCCATCCCGCTGGCTGCTGCAAACCCAGGAACGGGAAGCCCCAGGTCAGGAGCGAAGCTCGGCCATGGAAACCCCACCCGTCCACTTCCCCGTCCTCTTCCTCCTCCTCCTCCTCCTCCTCCTCCTCCTCCTCCTCCTTCTCCCCCATCCTCATCCTCGTGCTTCTCCTGCTCTGGAGGAACAAAAATGACATGAACACAAACTTTTGGAGGTCCGCGCGAATTTCCTCGATCGGCGCTATGACCCCCTGGCGGCGCCTCTGGCGCCGCCCCTGTCGCGCTGCGCGCGCCAGGGAGGGGGGGCACAGCGCCGATCCAAGAAATCCGGGCGGACCTCCAAAGGTGTATAGTCATGCCGACGTCTCTTCGATCGGAGAGAGAAACGGGAAGAGGGAAAAGGGGAGAAAGGGGGAAGCCTGCTGGGGAAGGGAGGGGGCAGGAGAGGGGTGGGCGAGGGAGGAGGGTGGGCGAGGAGAAGGGGTGGGCAAAAGTCTGTGCTGGTGCCGTGTCTTGCTCTTCTGCTCGGCGACTCCGAAAGGGTGTGGTGCTCCAAGGCTGCGGCCCGCAACCCCGTGCCTGCGGGGGTGGGCGGGCGAGGCTCTCGACAGAGATGTCCGCCGCGCCCCGACGGGGGCTCACCACGCCTTCGGTGCAACGTGGTGACCCCCTGGGCCCCAACGGCGTCGATCGCAAACCGCACGTGGGAACCGCGCGTATGTTGGGAGGCAACTACTGGGAGGTTTGCAGGTTTGCGTCGGAAAGATTGAAGAGGAGTAAGCCCCATTTGGGAGCTATTACGCCGGAGTGGGCCTCGGATCAAGCGGGATCATGCCGGATTAGGCGGGATTTAGCGGGATTAAGCCGGATTCAGCGGGATCAAGCCGGATCAAGCCGAATTAAGCCGGATTTCGGACCAGGGCGAAAACAGAATTCGACCTCCCAGGAGTTGCCTCCGAACGTAGGTACACGAAGGCATCCGGGCACTGCCACGCGGGGCCTCACGGAGACGCCACGAGGCAAGACAACGTGTTGGGTCTGCTTGTGTCGGGCCCGACGAAAGGGGGGGAATTGGGAAAGGGGGGGTTACGAAATTTGCTGCATGCAGCTGGTTTCGGCCTCACCGCGGGGCCCATCCCTCGATGCACAGCCGCCTCCGGTGGCGGGAAAATCAGCTACGTGAGCCGATTCTCAACCCCCCCCTTTGCTATCCCCCCCTTTCGCCCGACCCGATTGTGCACCCAGTGATCTCGCCACTGGGTGGCTGACAAGCAGAGCCATCGTGTTTGTGACACCGCGCCGCGGCGCGGCAGGGGCGGTCCGCGCGCGCGCTCGGACAGGCCGGGCGGCGGCACCGCGAGCGGGCCGGGCGCAGTGAGTGGAAGCGGGGGAGGGAGGAGGGGGAGGGAGGGAGGGAGGGAGGGAGGGAGGGAGGGAGGGAGGGAGGGAGGGGAGGGAGGGAGGGAGGGAGGAGGGAGGAGGAGGAGGAGGAGGAGGGAGGAGGAGGGAGGAGGAGGAGGAGGAGGAGGAGGAGGAGGAGGAGGCGGAGGAGGAGGAGGAGGAGGCGGAGGAGGAGGAGGAGGAGGAGGAGGAGGACATCTTCCTGGCCCCGACCCTCGCCCATGCTGCAGAGGGGAGCCAGTCGCGCGCTCTTGGCCGCGCCTCACGGGCGAGCTTCTCTTCGCGCGGGGCCGCCACGTCGGACGCGGCCGGGCGGTCTGACCTCTGGGTGGACCTCGAGAAAATCGGCCAAGTCGCAGGATACAGTCAACGCGTAATTACACTGAGGATGCACAAGAAGGGTGCAAGGGCCTTGGGAGGCCACGTCGACAATTTTCGAGCGGGGCGCGGCCAGCGAAAATGGCCAGGGCTGGGCCGAAGGGGAAGGATGCGCAAGGGTAGTCTGGGAAAGCCGCTCATCCTTACTATCCGCGTTGACTGTAAGGGCAAATCCACTCGAATTCGATCCCCGAACCCCTTCCGGTCCATCTGGTGCAACGTTTCACCCCGGATCAGTTTTCAAAACGGTCAAGGAATTCGAGAGGGGCTCCCGGGGGACCGAACGAAAAAAAAACTTCTCGAACCCAGAACCTCGAACCTGCCCCCCCCCCCTTCCTGCTCGCTGGCACCAGTGCTGGGCCACCTCGGATCCCCCGCCGGCTCCAGGCGCCACACAGTCGAGGCCTTGACCCAGGGAACCCTAAAGAAGGAACGAGGCCCCTTTTCTCCATGAGTTAGATTCCGATTTCCTATCGAAAACATAAGGAAAGCCTGAGGCAAGCTGCGAAACAATTAAGGAATGCGGAGCCCCTCCCCAACCAAAAGGGTTCCTTCTTCAGGGCCCCGACTGCATTTGCCACATTACTCGCGCGCGGGCGGCAAAGGCCGAGGGCGCAACGCGGCTTCGGCCAGCGGCCTTCGATGCCGACGTACCAGTCGGGGTGGCTCGGGAGGCCCACCTTCAGGGCCCAGTCGACGCTCGAGAAGCAGGACTCGCCTCCGACGCAGTCAGAGCGGGGCCGGGGTGCAGCGCGGAGGTAGGCCATGGGCGGTGAGAGGACGCTGATAGCGGCTGGGGTGGCGCACGGTGGAGCACGGCGACGCTCTGGAGCACAAGAGACCTCCGCCAGCCCCGAGGGACCGCGTTGTGGGCGCATGTGTTCTGGCCCGCTAGGTCAAGATGGGCTCCGCGATTGTCGAGAGCTCTCTCTTCTGGGGGCCAGCCGAATGGCGTAGGCCTCTTGAACTTCACGCACGCACACACACAGACACACACACACACACACACACACACACACACACACGCACGCACACGCCACACACACACACACACACACACACACGCCCACACACACACCACACACACACACACACGCACGCACGCACGCACGAACGCACGCAGGCACGCACGCACTCACAAACACACACACACACACACACGCACATACAGAGCGGCCTCGCTCGCAGCGTCGGAGGCGGAGAAAATCACCGAACCGGCGGGCGCCCGCGCGGCGGGCCGCTCGGAGCGTGCAGACACCCAGAACCAAGCCCTTCGCACACCCGGGCGCGGGCAGCGAGGGCGCAGTGGGTGGGAGGGCAGAGCCCACAAAGTAGAGGCACAGTACGACGAGCGACGAGGGACGAACGAACCGCCACCATCGCGC